CTTCTCCACTGAAAGCTGATCAAAAGACAGCCTGACATGATCAGACCCTGTCAGATGTTAACACAGTCGGATTTATTCGTTCTTCGCCTCAGCCTCGACATATCACTTTCACCATTTGTGATATATATCTCTGACTAAAAAGTTTCGGTAAACCATCGTAGGCTTACCGCCTTCTGCGAAATTGTCTGAAATACGGCAAACCAGCTGTGGAGCTGGATACAATTTAAGTCAGGGTTGGATTTTTGAGCTGAGAAAGCGATAATTTCTGATGCGTTCATGACAAAACACAACGAGTCCTCAGCTTAACTATCTCCTTCTAAAAGGGTCCTTCGCAGATCTGGGCAGATACGGTCTTTGCCTGTCAGTTATTTACTGCGAAACCTGGGCCTGTTTAGCTGAACACAACACTACTCTATTTGTAGGAATTCAAGAAAGACACACCAAAACAGAACACCTATTTTTTTTTCTCGATTGTTTGGTTTTTTTTAGCCTTCTGCAGCCACCTTGTGAATTAATTTAATTATTTTACCCTTTACCGCATAGATCAGTGTCAAAAATGAGGCCCGTGGGCCAAAACCGGCCCGCTTGATGAATTTTTGGGAAATAAAATAATAAACAAACACCATGTTCGCGATATGTTTTGTAAAATTATATTTCATTAAATTTGACGATTTATCTGATATATTTGTATTTCATTGCATGAAAAAAAGGGAAAAACATTGTTATTGTTATTTATAGGTAACTATATCATGATTGGTCCGGCCCACTTGACACCCCAAAATATTTGCAGTATATAAATAATATCTTTCAGACCAAATTATAGAATTTACCGCAGTATACCCAATGATACAGTATTTAAGAGTCACTGCTGTAGTACTTGTAGGTACTGTGCTGCATATTGGTTGTAAAAACATCACTTTAGAAACTGTTAAAGTGAGCAACAGTTCAATCATTGCTGCCTCCACCGTTAGGTTCAAAGGTGTTGTAACGCCAACTGACCACAGGAGGCAACAGTTGACCTGCAGCGCGAGTTAAAATCTCTGATTTTCTCTGCCGGTTTGGGTCGATCGTTGGGTCGATATAGGACTTTTCCGTTATATCGGTTTATTTCAGTCTTGTTTTTCCTCACGGCATGAGTATCCATGAATAAAATAAATATCGAATAAATAATATCATACACGTCAATCGCAGTTTTTTTTACAGTAACGGATGAATATTTACACTCATGAACGTGGGGTCAGCCAGTCCCGGACATGATGTACAAGTATCACATCGGAGCCAGTGAATGGGGCTGGTTTTATACATGCATTTGACGTTTTTGAAGCAGTGTGTACGTGCATGTGTGTCTACATGAATATGTGTGTGTGTGTGTGTGTGTGTGTGGGCAGGTCTGCAGTGTTTGAACAGCACATTCCACAGTCAGGGTTTAGAATAACATTCCCTTCATGCACAGCTACTGCTCTAAATAACTAACACTGAGCCTAAAGTCTCGGTACAAATCCAGACCAGGAGAAGCTCTCACAGAGTCCACATGCTGAGACAGAGACCAGAGACACTGGAGATCAGAGAAAAATCTGATGGGACAAAGGTAAAAGCTGTGATAAACCAAACATATGAAACTGGGGAAAATGCCATTTTTAGGGAGTCCCCAAAGTCCATACAGTATGAAAGGAAACGTGGGACTTTGAAGTGGTGCTATAATCAAGTCGATATGGAATTCCTTGAAAGATCCTTGATTCACCTTGGTCCTCCTTGGCTTTGAATAACCCGATGTATTCGTTTTGGATTCGTTGCAGGGGTTTTGTTTTCGTTCGTTTTTTTTTTTTTCGAGTAACTATTTGAAACTAAATCAATGGAAATGACATTTCCTTTAATTTCATATTTAATTTGTCTTTTGTTTTGAACAAATAGATTATATGTTTTGAGTATGACAGAATGGCTTGTGGCTTTGACTCATGGGAAAATGTTGCGTGCATGCGCAAGACCAACATTACCCCCCCGCCCCCTTGTCTCCCCCTATGCCCCTGACTCATTAAAAATGTCCTCGTGAACCTTTAAGATTTGTATTTGAGTTGTCCCTAGATGGTTCACAAAAACAATTGACCTCACTGCTGCCTCCTGTGGTCACTCTGTGTCACTGAGGTTACATTTAAAATCGGTGAAGTCACATATTATTAAAACTGAACTTCTCTACTGACTATGATGTCGGAGAGTGAGTAGTTTTTCAACTTCTTAAATGACAGCGTAATCAGGTTCATGTACAACATTTTAGATATATAAATAAATAAACATCTTTGTTTGTGTTTCCTGTTTTCCTGCTTCCTGGAGTCTCCACCTGCAACCATGCTTACTCTCTCTCTCTCTC